GAGCCGGCTGCTTTCACCCCAGTGTCACCCGTTAAAAATACCCCCTTGGTGGGGCTGGGCCAAGCTGCTCCCCTCACTGTAAAGCCACGTGTCCCCACGCCGCCCAGCAGCCCACTGTACTGGGAAATGGGTCACCGGTGGCACCCCCAGCGCAGCGCTGCGAGGGCACCCACGGGTGGATATTTGGGGGATGCCGGGGCAGGGGATAGACCGCTTTCATGGCCGGGAGTGGGGGGGGTCTTGATCACTCAGGGCCGCCCGCAGAACGGGGCTGTGGGATGCGGAGGGAAAGCTGCGCTCCAAGGGATGCTCCTCTCCGGCCCCACTTCCCGCCTTCCCTGGCTGGGCACGGAGAAATGCCCCCTACCCGCAGGAAGGAGAGTGATCCCGGGCAGCAGGCGGGCAGGATCCTCATGGGGCTGCTCAGCACCTGCCTCTTCCTCTTCCTCCTCCTCCTCGCCCCACTGCATGCCCCGGCCCTGCCGCAATCGCCCTGCGCGGGCAGGGTGAGGCAAGCCGGGGGGTACCTGGTGGCAACGAGGGGCTCCTCGTGGAGGTGGTCCAGGCACGGCTCGGGTGGGCGATGGGATGTGCCGGAGGATGGGATGTCATCAGCGAGGGTCATGCCGGATACGGGACCACTTCCTCATGCCGCATCCTCCCTCCTGGCACTGCCTCACGCTCCTTCTCTCCAGCATCTGCAATTTTTCTAATAGACTTGATGGAACTAATTACAACAGGAAGACTTTAATGCAGCACAGGCCGCGCAGCAATTCAGCCTCTGGTCACTCCAGCGGCATTAATCACACTGCACCGACGCGGCATCGCTGGGGGAAGGAGCTGCCTCTCCTCGGCGCAGGGCAGAGCTGCTCCCCTGCGCTCAGCTCCTTTGCCCCCCCACGTGTGGGGACAGCCAGGCACGGCAGGGGTCTCCCCTGGGGACCGAGGGGGTGCCAGGAGATGCCCGGGGAGGTCCCAGGTGCCGGCTGAGCATCCCTGGGTGCGGGGAGGCAGCGGGCAGCGGGGGGG